ATTTTTGTCTAGACAAATATCATGATCACATTACATTGTAATACAATTGTGATATTAAACAAACACTATTGATCCCCAAAATCCTTTGTAATACCAATGTTCACTTTGTCTGGTTTTGTTGCAGTATGCCCCATATATAGAAATAAAAACCCCTGTGTAAAAATTTGCCGATCAATTTTTGTAAAATTGTATTTATTTTTTTCAGACCTTTTGAATAAAATCAATTATAAACATTTCTTTATTCGAAATATAAAAAAGGAAAAAATTTGAAGCTGAGGAACGAAAAAATTATTATAACCTATTCATTATTTGCATCAATTTACCATTATGTAAATCTATAAATTTATCCACGCAAGTCAAAATTATGGTTATTATTATGTGCTGAAACTCAGTTATAGCTTAATTACAATTTTAATCAACTATCTGCGACTTATAATCTTGCAACGGTTTTCTATCTGGATACCATTACATTGTCATATTAATATATATCAATATTGAATGAAAATAATATCATCATTTGTTTTCTTTTATCTCTTTTTATATTTTTATTAATTAAGATTCTTTCCATACCATCACTTATAATTTCTTTTCTTTTTTGGTAAATATATCCGTAATAGCTAATAATGTAAAATAGTAATTTCACATATTCTAACATTCTAAAATGTAACAGACCTTTAATTCTTTGATTTAATTTAAACGAAGGAATTTAAATGATTGGATCACTTTAGAATAACTTGAAAATAATTCTACACAGAAGGTTCAAATAATACATTTAATTAGGATAAATTAGGATTTCGAAGAAATTGGAGAAATAGATGATAGAACCTTTAACATGTATAAATAACGTTGTAATTTTCTCAACTTCATGTGTCATCTTTATAATCAATTAATTAATCAATCATCATGACAATCATTTGATAAATAATACAGTCCTTAACCATGTCCTTGTCCATGTTCTTGTCCTTGTCCTTGTTGTCTTCGAATATTATATTTTCGAAATGATAATAAATCTATCTCTAGCAATGAATTCATACTAATCCCGTGCATAACCATTTTCTCTTATTTTATATTTGTCTCTATTATTTTATTATTTTTTCTTTTTTTTTTTTTCTTTTCTTTTAGTGAGGTAATATTTAATAAATTTTATTTAGTGATGTATCTGACTTGGTAGCAAAGAGGAAAACTGCTAGAAGGGCATCCACCAAGGAACAAGATTAGAATATATATAGTGTAAAATCTAAAGAAGATATTGTTTAGTATTTCTTAGTATAAGGAATTGTTTAATGATAGTGAAAGATAGTTTTGAGAGTAAAGCATAAGTATACGTTTGCGGAAATTGTTGTTACAATTTAGTATAAATAAATGGAAGAAATTGTATCAACATTGTTGGCATATCATTATAAATAAAATACTATGAGACTCACAATATTAATATATATTAATATGATGAAATGAATTTGTTCGCCGTAGAAATCATCGTCGAATCTTTTTTAATTGGCTCACGTGTATTTGCAACATTTTTGGTAATGTTTGAAAACCCCTGCATACTTTAATATTAGAAATTACCAAATTCGTATTTCAATCTGTCAAAAAAAAAAATTTTTTTTTTTTCATGTACAAGTAACGGTTATACCCGAATTCTATATAAATATACGAAAATGAGATTTTTTAAAAAAAATTCTTTTATAAACATTATTTTTTTCAACTTTACACACTCGCACTCACACACTTTCGCTAATTCACCAAATCAATCCCTACTCACTTTTAAAATAAATAAATAAATAAATAAAAAATGTCTTCAGCTTTAAAAGGTGCATTTATGAGAAATTGGTATCGTACCGAAGCAGTTCCACTCTATGCCGTCACTGTAATTATTACTTGTCATTTTATTTTTATTTTTTAAATTTATTTATTACTCTACGAACAATTAACGGTTCGGTTATTAAATAATTAATAATTGATTAATAGGGATTAGCTCTTGTAGGAGCTGGATGGTATTTAACTCGTTTAGCAAGAGGGCCCGAAGTTGTATGGGATAAGTAAGTATAAATAAAAAATATTAAGAGAGAAAAAAGAAAAAAAAATATGTTTTGCTCGAAATTAATATTCGTTTATTTGAATCAGGAAAAATAATCCAACACCATGGAATAACATTGAAGAAGGAACACAAGTTAAACTTCTTGCAATTAGTCAAAATTTTGATAAAAAGTATGTGTATAATTATTTTGAGAAATTATAATTTTCAAAAGCAAATTAAATTAATATTTTCCTTTTATTTCTTTTCTAGATATGTTCGTGGTAAATTTTAAACACCAGATATTATTATTACTATATTACTATTATTATCAAATATATTATTATAATAAAGATGTGTGTAAACTAATCAAATAAAAAAAAAAATTAATAAAATAGAAATCTAAAAGATTCAACCTTTGTGTTAAATATGTCAGACATACATATCAAACATTTGTATAATTGGTAGCAATGCTAAGCCAACTGGCTTAGCAAATCTTTTTGATTTATTTTACCCGATAATATTTCAAAGTAATTAATGAACTTCCCTAACTGAAAAAAAAAAAAATTTATATTTTTTAATTTTTTCAAAAAACTTTTTTTTTTAATTTATTTTTTAGAAAAAAAAATAAAAAATATGATATGGAATATAGAAAAATGGATAAATGAAAATAAACTAATACAAGCTTTTATAAAAATTGCAAATTATTTCCCAGTATTTGTTTTAATAATTCTAGTGCTTTGGTCTTACTTTGCATTTGTTATAAGATTATGTATTTTATATCTGATTCCTAAAAATATCGCTCAAGGTAAATATTTATCGTTTTTATTATTTTTGACAAAGGAAAATTTTGATTGATTAAATTAATTGTATATTTGATTTTCCTAGGTATAACATATTTAATAATATATCATATATTATTTATTTTGATGATGTGGTGTTATCTCAAAGCTACTTTCATGTCACCGGGTAGCCCTTCTGATGATGTATGTAAATTCGTAAATATGCAAAATATTTTTTCAAATAATTCTTTTTTTTTCAAAGTTTAATTAAATTAATTAATTAAAGAGACAAAAAATCAAAAAGAAAAATTATAAGCAACTTGGAGTAAAAGATAATGATGATATTAGGTTGAATTCAAGAGAAAGTAGTATCAATAGCTCAGAAACATCAAGTCATTCACATGAAATAGAAATAGAAACCAACAATAATGCAAATGGTGATGATAATAATAATAATAATAATAATAATAATAATAATAATTTTGACATTAACATTAATGATAATAATAATGTAAGTAATAAATCAAGTACTATTGTGTTGGATGATAATAACAATCCAATGACCATAAGTTCCATTATGGTTAAACAAAGTGGAGAAAAAAGATTTTGTCAAAAATGTCAAAATGATAAACCGGATAGGACTCATCATTGTAAAGTGTGCAGGAGGTGAGTTTCAAATATGTTGGATTTATTGTATTCTTTGAATTTTTATTAATCAATCAATCAATCAATTATTATTATTATTATTATTACTATTATTATTACTATTAGATGTATCTTAAAAATGGATCAGTACGTGTTATTATTATTGTTATTGTTACAATGACTATATAATTATTTTATCAATAACATTAACAAATTATTTTTAATTTTAGTCATTGTCCATGGTAAAAATTAATAAGTAGATTATACAATTAACATCATTACTATTTTTGGCTGTATAATCAATCGATCATCTATTAATTAATTCATTTTATCATCTACATCATATTAACCTTCATATAGGCTAAATAATTGCATTGGACTTCGTAATCAGAAATCTTTCTATCTTTTTATTGTTTACGCAACAATCTACTCTTTCTTCATTTCAATTGTAACGTTACCACCAACAATTGAAGTAGCTCGATCATATGAGATCATATTGGATGATGTTGACTTGAATTGGAGTTTTTTAATTATTATCGGTGGAATATTTTTTATTTGTCTGATATGGTTCACATTGTATCACACAAGTTTAATATTATCAAATCAAACAACTATTGAAAGTTTACAAAAACATAATTATAAAATTAGAGAGAATACCGAAGTTACTACAAGTAAATTTTTAAATTTATTTGATATCGGGAGAAGGTATGAAATGATGAGAGTGTGAGAGTGTAGGAGTGCGTGAGAGAAATAATATGTGAATGAATATTTATTAAAATCAATTTTAAAAAAAATTCTAGAAATAATTGGAAACAAGTGATGGGCCCGACCTGGCATGTATGGTTCTTTCCGACTGGCAGCGATCCGTGAGTGTGGGAATTTCTAAAAAAAAAGTTTTTTTTTTTTTTAAATATTTTATATTCTAGTTTCTTATTTTTCCAGAAAATTTATTATTTAGGTATGTCGATGGAAGGAATTGGCCATTAAATGTTTATAGATACAATACATTATGTGAATCAACTGAAGAATTAAATCCTTAATAATCCGGTTAAAATCATTTGATATATAAAATATGAGTGTATATGAGTGTATGTGTGTAAATATTTGGTATTTATTTATTTTTTGTAAAAAAAAATCAATATACATTTAAAACTAGTAGATAAAATCAAATTATAATTTTGTAATCAATTAACCAATCTCTCGATAAAAAATTTTATTTAACCTGCACTGATTCTTGTATCTGTTACGACTTCGCCTCCTATTAAAAAGGATAAAAAATAATATTAATGAAAACACACGTATAATTAATTAATTAATTAATTAATAATGACCTTCGTTGATTTCTAAAGGTTGTCCTGTAAGGTTTTGATATAATGATGATGCCTTAATTGCACTTTCACGTTTAGCTTCAGGTGGTCTATCCTTTCGATGGGATGCTGCAACTAAAGAAGTTCTAATTAAATATTAAATAATTAAAAAAATGATGAGAGATCTTGATTTACATTTCGTGCAAAAAAATTTAACCAATCAATCATAATATACAATTGTCTTGATTCATCTTTATCATCCCGATCATTAGCTTCGGCAATCAATTCAGGTCCGCCTCCAAGTTCATTTTTATCCTCTGAATAATATCCTTCGGTTTGTCCTACAGCGTAAGTTGTAGGTCGTAATGTTGGTGGTGACAAATTTTTATCTGGATTGAGGTCTTTTATTTTATAAAGATATAAAAAATGTAACGATTATTTTTTGTTTTTAAAACTGCTATTAATATATTTGATAATTACCCATTTCTTCTTCTTCTTCAACGTCTTGTTCTTCAACTTCTTGTTCTTCAACGTCTTGTCCTTCAACTTCTGGTTCTTCAATGTCTTGTTCAACAATGTCTTGTTTAGGATCGTATTCTTCATCTCCGTGTTCCACAACACGTTCATAAAGTTCATCTTTAACAATTCCTTCGTCGGTTGAATAATCGTTGTTATTTTCTTTCGACATTATTTGTTGATTATTTTATTATTTATTATTTATAAATGTAATTATGTCTTTTTTTTTTTTTTTTTTACTTCGTTAAAAAAATATTTTTTCGATATATATAAGAAAAAAATATCAATATTTATTAGATAAATAATACATCATTATGACTTCACTATTATAAAATTATGATAAAAAGGAAGCCTCCTAAAATGAAGAGATTAAATAATAATTACTAAGCGTATGATGTAAAAATATAATGCTAACAACCAGCACTAATATATACGCAATTTAGATCTGAAATTTGGTCATGTGACTTTTTAGAAGAAGTTCGCGTCTTTAAAAAAAAAAAAAAAAAAATTTTTTTTTTATTTTCTCAACATTTAAGAATGAGTTGATCATTCAATTTCTTTTCTTTTTTTTTGATAAACAAAATTTCCAATTCTCTCGAATAAAATAATTAATTCAACGTGCTTAGAATGTGGAAATAAATCGACCGCAATTGCTTTAATTGGTTTAAATGGTATTCCTGGAAATGAAGAAGAGGGATGTCGGCAAATACTAAAAAAAATAATAAAAAAATAATATTAAAAATAATTAAATAATTATTTTTCATAATAAATTTTTTTTAAAAGAAAATTTACTCTATAAAATTTTGCGTCGCCAAATTGTAGTCACATGATATGTAGATGAAATTAGAAATTGCTTGACACTGTCGTATTGCTTTGATGACACTTTTATGAACTCCAGCACTATATTTCATAATAAAATAATTTGAAAATAATAATTAATTAATTAATTGTGTACAATAAAATAAATTGTTATTTATTATAATTTTTACCGAGGTGGATCCAAAATTGCAATAAGTGATCCTGGTCGAGAGTTGTTAAAATTATTTAAAGTGCGTAGATTATTTTCAACTGGACCAACAATATATTCAGCATTTTCAATACCTTTAATAATAACATTAAGGATGCTGGCATATTAGCAATAGTAGCCAATCAAATCAATAATTAATTAAATTATTTGATTATATAAATTCCTGCATACCATTTAAAATGGAGTTAATCTTTGCGTCTTCAATTGCTTCTGTAGAAAGTTCAATTCCAATAACACCTTTAATTTTATTTCCTAATTTCTTTGATAATGCTATACCTATTGTCCCTGTACCACAACACATATCCACCAACATTGGTGGATCTGATGATGATGAAGAGGTAGAAGATGTTGTTGTTGACGTTTCTGATAATAATGCCGTTGTTGTTGTTGAAGAAGAAGAAGATGATGGAATTAATTCATCAATAAAAATACTACATTGATTATATAAAACTTCTGCTGCTGCTGTATTTGTTTGAAAAAATGCTAATGGAGAAACACGAAATCTAAATAAATAAATATGTATATATATTTTTTAATTTGTTTAAAAATCCTTTTCCCCTTCTTATCTCAAATCATTATCATCTTTTCCTCTAATATCATTTCTTTTACACTAACCTACAATTCATCATCTCTTCATGAATATATGATGTTCCGTATAAAAGTTCATATGGAACTTTATCAGACATTCCATTACTAACTCCATCAAACAATTGAATTAATAAACAAGTCAAATTAAAATTTTCATTTTTGGAAAATGCTTGAAAATAATTTGTTAATTTGATTTTTTCTTGACCAAGTTGTTCTTCGGTTAAATTTTGTGGATGCAGTTGAACTATAATCATCACTATATACACATTATTATACATGTGTACGTGTGTGTAAGATAAAAAAAAAAATTATATTATAATTTTGATATTTCTAATATTTCAATTTTTCCTTTAAAAATCAATTCTTACCATCTCCAGACATTTGAGACCTCACAACCAATAGCCTCCAATTACCTAATAAACAAATATTTAAATAATAGAAAATCATGACTAACAACTCCTTCAAATGAATAAATAGTAAATACTGATAGTTATCACCTCACCTTGCTTAGTCCTACGATCATATATATCATATTGTGAATTACGAACATAATCCTAAATGATTAATAGAAATCAATTATTATTATTTTTTTGTTGAATTTAGTAAACTCATTTATTTATTAGTTACATACTTGCATTCCTTTTGCTAATTTTTTTGCTACATCACTAACGTGAATTGTTTTATTAGGTTCCTAAAAAAAGTATTATAATTACATATAAAAACTTTTTTTTACATTTATTATAATTATCACCACCAATAATAATTAATTACCAAAACTGAAACCAGCCCATCTTTATATGCTCCCAATAAAAATCCAACAGTTTTTTCTTTATCAAGATTTAATCCAATAGTAAATTCACATTTATTTCTATAACCTTCTGTTATTGGAGATCGAAGAATCGGCAAGAAGTCACAGAAATTATTTAATTCTGATCTTATCATCGTCACAATTAAAAAAAATTTATATAAATAATTTTATAATATTTATAGAAAAATAACACAAAATTAATAAATTATCATTATTCACTCTACAGAAAGCCACTCTGGCAAATTATCATTGTAGTAATCTTTTTCAATGTTGCTAATCTTTTGTCGTAAGTTTATAATAAATTTCCTAATATCATTTTGTTTATTTTCCAATTGAATCTCATATGGAATTCTTACCAAAAGAACAAGAGTAGTAATTATTAAATAAATTTAAATAATAATGATGATGATGAATTAAAAAAAGAAAGAAAGAGAGAAATATACTTATGCCAAGGTGTGACTTGATCTGCAAGTAATTCTTCCGGTGAACGTTGTTGTATTCCATCTTGATCCAGAAGATTCTTTTGTTTTTGCTTATTCCTTCTTTCAAACTTAGCCTGTCGATCCTATATAATGAGTGTGAGTGCAGATGATGAGAATGAGTTGATGCAATCAAAAGAGAGTGTGTGAATTAATGTGAATCAGCAAGAGTGAATCAAAAAACCTACTTACTTGTTCAGTGATGTCATCAATTCGTGCAAGTAATTTTTTATTTTTAAATTTTAATCCATTCAATGTGTTAAGAGCTTCAAGTTGTCTTTCTTTTGTCTATAGTCAAAAAGTTATAATAATGATAATGATAATAATAGCCATCATTATAATTTAATGAATAAAAACCTTAAATGATGCAAAGAAATAATCCCAAGTTGGTGATTTTTGAACTTTTATATCACCAAAACCATTTTCTTGCATTAAATTTTTAAGAATTTTTACTGATGTGTATTTTGGTATATTTCTAACCATTAGTCTAAATTGTGTTGTCCCAATTGATTCACCATCAATAATTGTTGTAATATTATTACTACTACTACCAACACCAACACCACTACCACTATCACTAGTACTAACTGTCCCTCTATCTTCATTTGATATGTTGTTACTATTGTTATTGTTGTTGTTGGATGTACTACTACTACCAATTTGTTCAGTAGATTTTAAATCGTCTAAATTTACTAATACTACATCTTCATCATTATTAACAATAAATTTGATATTATTATCATCATCTTTACTATTACTATTTTTAAGTTCTTCTTTAATCGATGATGACATTTTTGAATACTTTTTGAAATAGTACAGCTGCTGTTGCTTATAATAAATAATCACTTTGTTTTTTTGCAAATTATAACTCTACTTTTTATTATTATTCGAATTTTTTATAAAATACAAAGAAAAAACAACTAGAGTCAGATACATACATACATACATATACACATACATAATGATATTAATATTAATATTAAATAAACAAACCTGAACTATTTGTAAATTATTTCTTGATATTGATGAAAACATGAAACTACAAAAAAAAAAAGATTTGATTAGCAATGATCATCATAATTTAATGAATAATTTTACCAACATTAGTTCTGACCTTCTTGCTCCCTGGTAATTTTTATTCTAATCAACTGGATAATAAACATAATTGTGTGAAAAATTAATTATTATTATGGGCCGTAAATTGGCCAACAAGTGGCATCTAAAGGGTCTTTCTATTTTTTCCTACAATATCTCCCGTCATCCTAGAACTTATATTGCATTATAATCTCTAGCTTAAGTAACTTGGAGAAAGGAACATTGGAAATATTTGTAATTGCTAAGAATTTTCCGAAGCGTCTAGACATCTTTGAGAGTTTGATGCTGTTAATTTTTTCTTTTAAAAAAAATTCTCTTTAATACGTATGAAAATTAATTCCTTATTATTATAATATTTTTGATACCTAATAATGGATGGCTAACAGAATATTGATGATTGAAGTTTATTTTCATTCAATTGAAGAATTAATTGAACAGATCAACATAAAATTCATATTCGTTAGAAACTCATGTCGCTTTTATATATTGTTGTTTCTGCGGTTTAACGTAGATCCTGAATTTGAATTAGGAAAAGGATGGGCATACCTTTTAACTATTTACACAAATTAATAATATTCATAGAAGTCGTCAATTCATTAAAAGAAAAGCTTGCATTCAATAATAACCACATCCACTGCTCCTGATATTGCTATAACCACTTCAACTGTTACAAACCCATAAACTTTCAATGATTCTGGTGTTTAATAAGCAAAAGTGGGATGTCAACTTTTTCAAAATTTTTCTATAATTGCTCTTCAAATTTAACCAACACAATTGTTACATAAAAAATATATTAACTTTACGAATTATATAAAGTCGGACATCAAAAATTTCAAACTCTCAAAGTCCACACAAAACTGCTTTACCAATATTATTAAAATATTAGTTGTAGTTAAGGATTTTGTTACAACTGAAAGTAGCTAATATTATTACTATTTGATTTATACTGACTATATTTTATATCCTGGATTAAGTTATAATGTTGGGTGAATTGATTAAAATTGTTATTAGCAAATAAAGAAATTTTATGGCTTTAAATAAATACAATAATAAATGCTATTTATTACTCAGCTCAAACCTTTTGATTGTTTTGGCCTTAATCTAAATCTTTAATTGCTCACACATACACTTTACTCTCTTGACGGTATTCTTATTTCTCTATTCTTGAAGTAATTTTTTGTTTTTGTTACTAAACGTTTGATAAGCATAGATTATTATTTTCTTCTAGTATGTAATTAACATTTAATTTATTAAAACTGCAGGAAATGAAAATTATTAGAATAAAAACTATGTATATAAGCATGACAAATAAAATAATATGGGTGAAGCTTCGAGTAACAATTTATTATAGTAAAAACAAATAGCCAAGGAATTAATGATAAATTAATACTATCGACAGTAGCATTTTTTGATATCAGAATCGGTATGGTAAAGATTATAATATATTAAATTCTTTTATTTTTTTCTTTACATCATTATTATAAAATTCGACTGTGCCATATTAATATTATTAGTATATTAATATACTAATACGAAAAAAATTGCACGAAAATCTATATAAAAAAAACATTTGATACAAAATAATATAATGTTATTATGTAGGTTTTTTAAATTTTTTTCTTTTATTTTTTTAACTGCTAAAGTTCTAGAAAATATGGGTGGGTATATATGATTTTATATCAAAAATCCTCAGAATTTAAGATAATTTATAATTTTTTAAAAATTTCGGACAAAAATTTAAAAGACATGTAATAATTTAAATCTTTGACCTTTTATATAATTTTAGCTTGGCAAGATTTGGCTTACATCTGTAATATTATTATTATATACTGTATATATTAATATCCGAATTACGGACAGCCAATTATGTTTACGGAATTACGGTAGCAACTGATTCAAGATTTCATTATGAGGACCTTTATTTATTTTATTATTAACGGTTTTGTATCTTCAGGTCCAATTATATTCGTATGTAGTGTTCCTATCTCGAATTTAAACCAGATATTAATATTAATATTGGAATTTAGATTATTCGACGGAGATTTGTATTATGTAGCAGCAAATAGTCCTAAAACGATATTTAATATTAAAAAAGAGTCAATCTTCATTTCAAAGATTACAAATATCATTAACTATCACATGGTACATTTTCCCTGACTTTAAACTTTACTCAATTATGCGATGGAGATTATTAATTAAACCATACACGAGATACTAAAATTTATGTTCTTCAACCAACAATCTTTTGTTTGTGCGATTATGTTAAATCCAACTTCCGAGTCGCTAATTTGCTTTGTGCGTAAATACAAAAGTGGGGACATTCCAAAAACAACTGGTGTTAACCTATTAATTGTAGAGAAAGTAGCATTGTGGTGGAATGTATATATGTTTGTGGAACAGGATTTAAATCGACCAGTTCTTTTTCTCATACAAATAGGTCTGATGTGATTATTGGTGGAGCCGAATCAATTGATTCATGCAATTTAAATTATCTTGATGCTGACATTTACCAGACATGGATTCAGATAAATTCAAGTTGTTCGTATACGGTAAATATTTATTTTTTATTTTTTACACCTGGATGAAATCTAGACACCATCTATTCAACCTCGAGGCTCACATTTAGATGGAAAAATAATTCTTCATGGTGATTCATTACCGGATCCACTTCTAATAATCTAGTTAATTTAATTTTGGAAATCAAATGATGATAAATTACGGCGAAAAAATTTTTTTATTCTAAAATTCATATATCTTACAAATGAGATACTGGAAATTTTATCTTTTTATATATATATTCAGTTATATCCGGTACCTATTCACAACCCATCCCGTACGTATAGAATGGGACGCATAAGAAATTGGATTTAAAATCGCGTTTCAACGAAACAAGGTTTGTTGAAAAAATGAATTTTCATTCGGTTGATTTATTGATGTGTATTATTAGATGGTGTATATTGATCCGAACAAATCAAAATCATGACCCATTGGATCGAGTTAATTTATTCATATATTAGATAGTATATATTGACTTGAATGAAACGATCCAAAAATTAGGTAATACTAATCGGTTTGAGCCATAGAAAAAGCCGGCTTCATTTAATAATATTCCTATTGTAATAAAATAACCAAATGTTAATGAGGAAGTTGAAGATAATGACATTGTAGTTGTTCGACCATATAAGAAATTAAAATGCTACAATGAAGCAGTTGGTGAAAAAATCAGATATGAATTGAGATGATTCATATAAAAATTATATTGAAGAATTAAAGAAAAATTTGAATTTGAATTTACAAAACGATTTATTTTCTATACACATGATATGGGGTTCGGTTCAATTTATGTGTAAATTAAGATGTAGAAGCTTAGAAACGTACCCAGGTTTACTTAATAAAATCACGAGATATTAAATGGTTCCATATGACATTATTAAATCTTAGAAAAATCTGTAGTTTTGTTTCTTGAAATAAATGGTGATTTTTAGAAATTAGACAAAAACGTAAATTATTGGAAAGACTTGAGAGAGGAAAGAGAATTATTTAAAAAAGCAGAAAGAAACGTTTGTATTTTTGTATCGTTTATTTATTATTTTGTTTATTAAACTGAATGCTTTGGATGATAGAAATTGGTACATTCCTTTTAACCTTAAGGTGGTTTTACAAGCTTTCTTTAAAAAACCAATTCGCTGATATTTGTTTTTGCAAGGATACAGTTTTGTTTAATCACATTATTTAAAATACAAGGAATGGGTTGTAAAATTGATGAATGAGCAAGAATTTAATTTTCACATCATATTTATTTTATTTTCAACATCATTAAAATATTCTATTGTATCAATGATTTATTTGTTATTTATTTTTTTTTTGGGAGAATAAATTAAAAGAAAAAAATTGTGCATAACTTAATAATATTACCAAAAATTAAAACCTTGATTTTAATTTTTATCAATTACTTGAAAAACCTCTAATTCATCATATTTACTACCATGTGGTATATTGATTTTATTATAAGCATATGACCCATTACCACCAATACTACCACATGCATCAAACCAGAAATCTTGATTACCATTACCAAAAACAGCCAAACAACTAGTACTACAATAAATTGCACTGTTATTATTAATAGGATAACTAAACAGTGCAGTATTAATATCTTTTCTATTACTAATATTAAATATAAAACTTTCAGTTGTAATTTTGTATCCACCTCCATTCCAATCAAGTGGATTGTATCCTCCTATTAATTGATCTGAATTTTGTATTTTGCCAACTACAAGAGTTTTTTTTATATTATCACATTTTTGATGAAAAGTAGATGAATTTGAACCATCTCTACTACTACGATATAAGAGTTTAAATTTGTACTTAACATCTCTAAGTGAAGT